GAGCCGGGCGCCATTACCTGCTCGCTCCCGAGCAGTGGCGTCACTAGGGTGAGGGGGGGGGGGGGGGGGGGGGGGGGGGGGGCCGGATCGGTTGCAGCGCTCAGGGAGGTATGCTTGGGAGAAGAGCGTGTTGGTTTTTGGTCATGGATGAAGAAAGAATAAAACAATTAAAACAGGGACAACACAACCACATCTTTCATAAGATGTGGATGTGAAAGATGTGGTTGTGTTGTCCCTGTTTTAATTGTTTTATTTTTTCTTCATCCATGATCAGGGAGGTGTCGCGGCGGGCTACGAAAGAGGGAAGGGGGGGGGGGGGGGGGGAAGGTGGGGCGGGCCACCGCCCTGGGTACCCCTGACCCTAGTGACGCTACTGCTTCCAAGACGCTGCGCCCTCTGGTTGTGTTTATTGCAACGTCCAAAACAATATTATTATATCAAAGTGACCAGGTCATTTCGTTGTTGTCCTAGAATTGTTGGCACATACGCAAAGAGGGTATGTGCTTCTTTCTAATTTACTGCTTCCCTATTGGTCAGTGACGTCGGAACAGGGGGGGGGGGGGGGGGGGAGGGCAGAGGGGGCGACCCTTTTCTCCCCCCCCTCCCATATATATTTCAGAAATTTTGAGTAAGAAATGCGGTGGAGGCAATAAAAAACCTCGCTCGCCCCCCCCCCCCCCCCCCCCCCCCCTCCCCGAAATAGTTCCGACGCCTCTGCTACTGATTCAATCGTATCGCTTTGCCATCTGACTGAGCATCGTACCGGCGCGCTTTCGTGTACCGCCGCTGTCGTGATGCAGCTTACAAACGCCGGACTAGCGGTCGTACTGCACTGACTGAAGTTCTCAACTACAGCGTGAACGAGTGTCGCCATACTATGGCAGACGAACCTCTTGCGTATGGTAGGTAATTAGGAGGACAGAACATTTTTAAGGCGTCTTGTGTGTACTAGAGGGAGCTAGAGAGCACACAACCAAAACATCGTAGATAGCAGGGCCGTAATTTTGGATTCTTTGTGTACTTTGCCGAAGGCCAGCGCGGTGCACAGGGTGGACTGTTGCGTTCGAACGGGGCTCGTGCTTGGTCAGTGTGTGCAGTTATCTCAGCCGAGCGCTGCCCCGGTAGGTTTCGTAGGAAATCCAACACTGCGGCCGTGGTGTTCAGGATGTGTTACTACAACACCGCGTCATCCGTCGCCCCTGTGGAAGTTTAGACTATTTGAAAACTATGTTGCAGGACCGCTTTCAGCGGCTATGTTCCAAAGCGCCCGAGGGCGGCAAGGACGGGCGCGGTGCCGCGGCCGGCCCTGGGGGACTCGTGGGACGTGGCCATCAGCACGGACGCAGAGGAGCCCATCTGCGAGACGATCATTGAGGTGTCCAACGAACCCCCGGCTGCGCCTTACGACGCCCCGTCGCCGACCGACCGGGTAGACCTGGACGAGCGCATGACCTGCGAGGTCCAGGTGGCACAAAGACCGAGCCCGAGCCCGAGCCCCAGCCCGGCGGCCTCCTCGACGGCCGAGGAACTGCCGCCGAAGCGCCGGAGGCTGGACGACTGGGACCACTTCCTCGTGTCGCTCAAGAGGCACCTGCGATGCACCCCCGACCACCTGGTGGGCAGCGCCCAGATGCACTTGCTGCAGATGGCGGCCACCTACGGCGCCGGCAGGATGCCGCAAGCTCTGATGCCGCTCGATTTGTAGCAGCTTGTCCGTTCTTGCAGACGACCGAACTGATTGCCTCCTCGCATTTGTTGGTGTGTCTCACAAAGTCGTTTGTCATCATTTCTTTGTTCAGAGCGCCTGCTCTTGGCTGGTGTGTGCGGACAACCTAACTGTGTGCCACACATCTGTGCATTTGTCTTACAATCATCTGTCTTTTTTTTTTTTTTTTTGCACGTTTATTTTTGGGTGCTGTGCGCGGACAGCGTGTGTGCCACGCGTTTGTTTATTTGCCTTACAGAACCACTTGCCATCATTTGTTCTTTTTGTTCAGCCTCTTTGCTCCCACGCAATGTTCATTTGTCTTACGAAGCCGTGTGTCGTCATTCTTCGTTTCATCTTTATATGAATCTGGACTGTTCATCGTGAGAAGGGAACTCAAGCGGAAGTGATCCCTCGTGTTTTAGTCGTCGTATAGTCGTGTATGTTTTGGCGGCTTTGCGCTGTGTCTAGCGCAGACATTGAAGGCACATCAGTGTTCGTGATTCGTGCGCTGGAAAGAAAGTCCTGAACTGCAGGACACCGCGGTGAACCGTTTGAGGCTGAAATAAAAGTGTTCAGCGTATGGCTGCCTTCAAAAACTCATTGGATGTGGAAAAACAACAACCACGGAGAATGTCATTTGACAGTGGTCTTCTTCGGCATGAAATGTTTTCTAATGCTTGGTTCCACCATAAGTCAGATGGGAGTCGAGGGCTGCACAAACACGGCCATCAAAGATAGAACTGCAGGTAAGAGCTTCAGTTCCGCCTCCAGCGCAAGCTCCTACCTTCGACAGCGCTCCGGCGTCTCGTGCACCCCGAGCGCAGTCAAAGCACGGCGGAAGGCATGGAGCGCGTTCTGACAGAATGTGAACGCCTTGTCGTTCTTACTCTGTCAGTGACTACAGTCCCTTTGGGTGGCCGGCACTGCCACCTCGGTAGCGTTAAGTGACGGGTGAAAAACAGGCAGCGCATCTACGAGGCTGTACGAGTCAAAAATGATGCCGATCAGTAGTATATCTTGGAAGCTATCATTCCCTTCAAAATGGCAATAATTGAACAGTCAAATTCCGTCCTTGGAATTCTGAACAGGCAACCTTTTCGTCTTGGGCGATTGACTTGTTCCTTCTTGCATGTTGTTGATAAAGTAGAAGCGAGCCATGCATGGGGGTTGTTAGTTTTCGGGTAAAGCGCGAAACACATGTACGACGAAACCGTCCGATCCGACGTCCGACCGCGCAATACGACGGTCGGAGGCGAGGGTTTTCAACGCTCTCCGATGCTACGAAAACCCTCTCCCTCCAAGGCCATTCCGGCAGTCTGCACGTCGGATCGGAAGGTTTTCGTCGTACGTGTGTTTCGCGCTTTAAACCCAATTTTACCCGATTTTTCCACTTCGAACATGTTTCAGGAGAATCGGGTTAAACCCAATTTCTCCCCGACTTCCATAACCACATAACCAACCTATTTATTTTTACGCCGCACGGAGTTTGCGGTGCACAAGCGCTAGCTAGCCTACCTCGGGACAACAGTGACCTATAGTTCATTTCGCAAGCTGCGTGCAGCACTGTGGACGCCACACGACTCTCAACCAACCGCCCAACGAGCGCGCCTAACTCACCGTGACATGCTACAGAGGCTGGCTGAGGAAAAGCGGCGATAGGCGTTGGGGCCTCGGAGGGACATTTCCGTCCCCCCGCTGTGCAGGTGGAACCGCCTCGCCACTGGGCCCTGCTGCACGCAGCTTGAAAAATGCGCTTTGAATCCCCCTTGGACCGCTGAGGTCTCGATGCCCAGCCTCTCGGGTAGCATGGCCATCTCGCTGGCGTCCAACCTTTTTCACGAACGACGTCCGAGCCAGTCAAGGCTGAACTCCACGGAGCGAATTATGCGACGAATAACTGGCGAACGTCGCCCGACGGCACGCTCGCTTTGCACGTGACGTAGCAGCCACTGTGTTGATTTCATGCGCAGAGCAAAAGCCGCCGGGCAAAATTCGTCGAATTTTCGCAGCATATTCGTCTCATTGAGTTCAGCCTTCAGTCGTGTAAACAGATCGGGAAAACTTGTTTCTTCCATAGCGAAATATCTGATCGAAGACGACCGTCCCTCGAAAGGTCAGGGTTTGTGTTGACACCTGAGGATCCCGTGGGCTTCCCTTGAAGCGACCGACGGCAATCGGAGCTGGAAAACCCTGATGTCTCCCCGATTACCAGTTTGAAACTGACCCCTAATTTTAACGCGTTAGCGTTAGAAAACTCGTAATACGCTCATATAGAAAAAAAAAATTAATGTATTATTGAGTATATTTGTAAATTTAACCCGAAAAAACCCAAATCTCGGAATGTTTTCACAAAAAAAAAAAAAAAAGATTTTTCTCCGATCATGAGGTTGAAAAATAGCACCCAATTTTTACCCTCCGAATTTAAAAAAAAAAAAAAATAATATGTATATATATATATATATATATATATATATATATATATATATATATATATATATATATATATATAGATATATATATATATAAACCGAAAACGAACAACCCTAACTATATTCAGTCACCGTGATTCAGTCACAGGTTAAGAATGCAGTAGATGCTCCGCCTCCAGCACGAGCCTTGGAAAACACTTGAAACTTATGCAGCATAAAAGCCCGACGGAAGGCAGCGAGCCCCACGCTGCCTCCCCGCGCGGTGGAATCTATGATTGACCAGAGGCCTCGTGAGATTTTCCCTCCGGCCGGCGTTTTCTCGCTGCCTCCTGATATAATGCGTGAACACTCGGAAATAACGCAGAAAAAGGCCAGCATGAGCGACGGCTACCAATACAGGCAACCTGTTTGCGCGTACAGCTTTCTCGTAGTTTTTAATGAAAGCGAGACCACTGGAGCCGACGCGGTCGTTTGTTCACGTCGAGGGCTTCTCCTAGCGCACGCGTGCGGTTAGAGAAGCCGCAGATTTGGAGCAACTGGAATGGCCGGCGTCGCGCTCGACCTTGGCGCCGGCCCAGTCACAGCGCTCAAATCCCTCGCCGGCTTTTCCGTCGAATGTCCAGACCCGGATAGCGCGTCAGTGATAAAGGTGGAACCTGGTTACTTCGGAGCGCGAGCGCTGCAAACACGACGCGCGCGCGCCTTGTCGCGTGTTTGCTTTTTTTTTTTTTTTTTCTTTTTTTTTTTTTAATACTTGACGGGATTATTTTCTCGGCTAAAAAGAAAAAAAAAAACAAAAAACGCGCAACGGTGTTTCGCAACTTTCCAATGCACACCTCGGCCCTTAAAGTTAGCTAAATCAGTTGGAATGAAATAAATAATTCGGACCACTAGAAAAAATCGTGCACTTTCGTACGACGGCTGGTAACAACATCGTACTTGGGTAGTAATTCAATTACAGTAATTGCATTACTATCATTTAGTTAATTTCTTTGTAATTATAATGAAATACTTTCGGTTAAAAGAAATTGTAATTTAGTTACTTTTTAGCGTCAGTAATTTCGAAATTTCGGGCACAATTACAATGACTTTTTCAAGGCTTTCAGGCGCCGACGGAACCTCTCAGAAAGCCTGCGCGCTCGCACACATAGACACGCACCACAGAAATAGCGTCGCGTTGTTTGTTGGCTGCGGGCTGAGAGACAATCCTCTTTGGAGCCTACATGGACAGTGTGGCGCCGTCTGCGGTGCGAGCAGAAAGAAATAGCGTAAACATGCCAAAATATTGAAAGACACAAATTTGAGCTTCAGCTTTTAGCCGAGCTTGGGGATTTTAATTGTCTGTGAAGTTTTCTTTCTTTTTCTACTTTTTTTGTCCGTTTTTTACGTCTTTTTTCAGTACTGTCGCATATTTGTTTCTTTGTATTACTTTCAAGTTTATTTCCTCTCGGTGTTACTTCGGATATTATTTCAATAAGTATTTTGGAGACTGATCTCGCAGCTGCGTATATTGTCACTAATGATTCGGGAGCCTCGATTCGGTTCTTATATATTTCTGAGCCATTACAATTTCAACTCATTGTAAATAATTCGCAACACGAAAAGTTTTTATGTGAATGTATTCTTATTCGCGCGTGTTGATTATAGTTACGCTATTGAAATATGCAATCATGACTAATTGTCGCATTTCCATTTGCCTGGCTAACAGAAGTGTGTCAACCCTATTTTATTTTACCGATCTGGCGTCTTCGAGTATATAAAATAATTTATAATTATTTATTGAAAATATAAAAAAAACGTATGACTTTATTACCCCAAACTGTCAAGTTCTATAAATAATTTAACAAAATTCACAAGAGGACAACACGTGAGATTGATACAGCAATGCTTAAATGCTGAACCGAAATTCGGATTTCCCAAAATAAGCTTGCAGAAGTGTTCAACGGGGCACCATAAACCACGGAACATGGCTCATATAGCCATATCTCGAACGGATGGACGTTTGAAGTTCCATGGCCCAAGTCGGAGTTCACTGTAGCCCAAGTAGGGTCGCTCCCAGAGTAAGTCATTGTAAAGTAGTTGCATTACTTTTTAAAAGTAGTTTGTATTTGTAGGGAATTACTTTTTACGTAGCAGTAATTGTAGACTACTTTTGGAGCGAAGTAGTTGTAATCGAATTACATTTTGCAAGTAAATGATGTTACAACGTACAGTTAAATTCATTCCCGCAAAGCTCACCGTTTTTTTTTTTAAAGTGTGATGCAAGTTATTGTGGACACACTGTATAATTTTGAACTCTATATACAGATGCCCCTCAGAAGAAACCAAATGTAGCGGGCCGTCGTCTCTGAAGCATGACTTCGCACGAGAGATATTTACCTCCAGAGAAATGAAAAAGACAGGAGAAGGAGCAGGCAGTGCAGAAAGTCCAAGCGAGCATTCGCACGACGCATGTAGTTGAGTCGCCGAGGTCTTTTCGCGAACCTGCTGGCGACCTCTGTGGGCTCACCGAACAAAAGGCAAAAAAAAAAAAAAAAAAAAGAATGAAAGCCGTTTACAACAGTTGTAATGCCGAATTAGAGCGCAGCCCTGGAGGAGGAGGAGGTAAAGGTACACAGAGGGGGCTATGCCCCTCCTCCTCTCCTGTTCGCCCCCATTCAGGGAAAAAATTTCCGCTAAATTTAGCGGAAAGAATTCCCCGCTAAATTTAGCGGGGAAATTTTTCCGCTAGATTTAGCGGGGAAAAATTTTTCGCTAAATATTTTTTCCACTAAACTTTGCGAGGAATTCTTTTCGCTAAATCTAGCGGAGAAAATTTTCCACTAAATTTAGCGGGGAAAATTTTCCGCCAGATTTAGCGGGGAAGATTTTCCGCTAAATTTAGCGGGAAATTTTTTCCGCTAAATATAGCGGGGAAAATTTTCCGCTAAATTTAGCGGGGGAAATTTTCCGCTAGATTTAGCGGGGAAACTTTCCGCTAAATTTAGCGGGGGAATTTACCTATCATGCACCGCCCGGTTATGCCGACGCCGCTCAATCCGGAAACGGGCGCCTAAGAGCTGCGCTCTAAAAGAGGTAAAAAAAAGGCACCCCGCGTTTCATAATCCTCCCCGAAAAGCAGGGGGACAAGGGAAGAGCCCGGTCGCTCTGA